ATATTTGTCCACTGTGGCTTGTGGTGGCCTTGAATGGCAGGCTAAGGAATCTTAGCAACATGTTAGGTCAAGACCAAAGACTCTTTATCTAGATTTAAAGATGGATAAAGACTTCTTAAGACCAAGTCCTAAATTTTAAAAAATTTGTTCTTTTTAGATATACATGACAGTAGAGTGTATTTTGACATGTCATACAAACATGGAGTATAACTTCCCATTCTTGAGGTTGTACATAATGTGAGGTTACACTGGTCTTGTATTCATGTATGAATGTAGGAAAGTTATGTCTGATCCGTTCTACCATCTTTCCTAACCCATCCTCCCTTCCTTCCCTTCATTCCCCTCTGTCTACTCCAACGAATTTCTATTCTTCCCTCCCACTCCCTTGATTGTGTGTCAGCATCCACATATCAGAGAGCACATTTGACCTTTGGTTTCGGGGGATTGGCTTATTTCGCTTAGCATGATATTCTCCATTTCCATACATTTACCAGCAAATGCCATAATTTCATTCTTCTTTATGGCTGAGTAATAACCCACGTGTATATATATCGCATTTTCTTTATCCATTCATTCATCTGTTGAAGGGCACCTAGGTTGGATCCATAGCTTAGCTATTGTGAATTGAGCTGCCATACATGTTGATATGGCTGTTTCACTATAGTAGGTTGATTTGAAGTCCTTTGGGTATATGCTGAGGAGTGGGATAACTGGGTCAAATGGTAGTTCCATTCCAAGTTTTCTGAGGAATCTTCATACTGCCAAGCCCTAATTTATTCACTGGGCATTGTTCTGTACCTAGTAGTCACTCCAAGCTTTCCTAGAAGATAGCAATAAATTACAGCACTAAGGTATTTCTGTCTTCTGTGGTCATCACAGGAGTTTATGATTGCATCTAACAATTTTTGGACTCTGGATGAACTTTCAATGAACTATTTATAGTGTTTTAAAATGTTTAGACCCCCAAATAAAAGCAGCTTGCTTCATGAGCCTCTCCCACTGACTCAGTCATAAGGTGACTCTACCTCCAGGAAGTCCCCAAGGGCTATCTTTGTAACTCACAGGCATTCTGTGCACTAATACTCCCCTTGCCTCCTCTTCTACTTTTCTTTTTTATTTTTTTAAATCTTATCATGTTTTGGAAAATCAATACATAAATTCAACAAATGAAAGCAAATAAAGAATAAATAAGCCATTATACCATGTCAAAGCCTTTTCTAATGAAATGCAATATGTACAAGTAAATACATAAAAATGTCATTTGATCCAAAGAGAACACAGCAACTTTACCAGTCTGTTTGCTCTGTGATTTTTTTTTTCGGTAGGGATTGAACCCCAGGGCTTCATCCATGCTAGGCAAGCGCTCTATCACTGAGCCACATCCCCAGTCTCCTGTGATATTTATTAATCCAAGTGAACCAGTGGCTACATAGACACTGTTAGGTTCTCTTCCCAAAATCCAGGGGAAAGAAAAATCTCCCTGGACTGTGTGGTGACTACCCTCCTGTGCATGTCTCCAGTGGAATCACAGGAGACAGGCTTCCCCTTTGCAGCCAGGCAATGAGATTCAGCTTTATTGACAGACTTGACATTAACACAAACACAACAAAACCTTTTGTGGATGCGTGTGCAGGATGCAGGTGGCCTAGAAAGGATCATTTAGAAAATAGATTAAGCACCGGAAAGCCCATTTTTGTAAAAGAGTGTAACAATAAGAGTTTTTTTTTTTTTTACTAAAAGTTTGTGCACACCCACAACCTCTAATATGGTAACAAAATTCTGTTGCCTCCCCTTCCTGGCATTACTATATTGTCCAGAAAATTTAGGATGCAGACATTTTCTGAGAATTCTTTTTTTGACTCTACCTGTCATGATCCTGACATGGGCTTCTACCCAAGGCCAAGGTGTAGAAGATGACAAGGGATTCTCTGGCCAGATGGAGTAGTACTGGAGGTACCACATGAGAAAACATAATATATGTACATTTACACACAAGCACTTACATACAACGTGTGTGTGAAAGCTGGATTTATATATTTACATTCGACGTTCATATACATATATAATGCATTTTTCTGATTCTGCAAATAATGATGCTTACTATAAAGAAAAACCTTGAGGAAACACTAAGGACAAAAATCATTCTTTATATATTCTTCATATACATATTGTACATTCTTCATGTATATACATATATATGTCTCTCTCTATATATAGAGAGAGAGTCAGAGAGGGATGATATAGATGTTTGCTACAGAGTGGTGGGTTACTTTGTAGTCTCCTTCCTTCCTTCCTTCCTTCCTTCCACCAGAGATTGAATGCTGGTTTCCCACTGAGCCACATACCCAGTCTTTTTAATTTTTTATTTTGAGACAGGGTCTCACTAAGATGTTTTGGGCCTTGCTGAGTTGCTAATCTTCCTGTCTCAGCATTCCAAACAGCTGGGATTACAGGCATGTGACATGGTGCCTGACTGTCATCTGCTTTTTTAAGTCAACACTGTGTCATGAGATTTTTGCCCATTTCACTGAAAATTCTTTAAGGACATGACTAGCAAAAGCCAATATGAACACACCACCATTTCCCCAACCATCTCATGTTATCAACCACTGTCGGGGGTTTTAGCCTCCGTTCCCTCCTGACCTGCGAGAGAGATGGGTAAAACACGCCCTGACCAGGATGAGCCAAGAAAGGGAAAAGGCTGACTGGCCACCCACACCCAGCCCTCCCTCGCCAGAGGACAATCAGATGTGCCAGGGAGACCAGTCAAAGCAGGATCTCGTTTAATGAGAAAACACACACAGCTAATATAATATACAGGAGCCAATCAGGATAAAGGTGAGCAGGGTGGGGAGAGTTCACCTGTATACCCATAATGGGAGACAGGAGCTGTCCGTGAGGGCAGAAGGGTTCTGAGCCTACCCTAGAGGTGGTCCGATTCTTCATCACAACCCACGGCAATGCTTTCTGGCTAATCGCCAGGTGTTCTCTTAGCCACATGTGGCCCCAGGACTGGGAAGCGGGTAGCAGCCAGCAAGTTAGGTTTCCTCTTTTCTGATGCAACATGCCCCACATGTTACATCATGCCCTACAGACCATCTTAGTTGTTTCCAGTTTGAAGTGTGTTATGGTTGCATATGAGGTGTCCCCCAAAAGTTCATGTGTGAGACAATGCAAAAAGGCTCAGAGGAGAAGGATTGGGTTGTGAGAGTCTTAACCCAGTCAGTGAATTAACCCCCTGATGGGGATTAACTGAGTGGTAACTGAAGTGGTGGGGTGTGGCTGGAGGAGGTGGGAACTGGGGCTTGGCTTTGGGGTATATATTTGTAGCTGGTGAGTGGAGTCTCTGCTTTCTGATCATCATGTGAGCTGCTTCCCTCTGCCACACCCTCTCACCATGATGTTCAGCCTCACCTCGAGCCCTGAGGAATGGAGCTGGCCTTCTATGGATTAAGACCGCTGAACCGTGAGCCTTCAAATAAACTTTTCCTTCTCTGCAGTTGTTCTGGTTGAGTCATTTTGTCACAGTGGCAAAACAGCTGACTAAAACGTAGTGTAACAGGGGGGAGTCCTGTCAGTTCCACAGCTTGTGAAGCTTGTCCTGGATGCCTGCAATGATTCCCTTGGGGAAACTGCCGAGATTAGATTTGCTTTCAAATATTGTCTGTCAGTGGCTGGAAGGGGGTGTACTCTCTAGTTGTAGCCAGAAGCCCCCTCATTCTATATGCTTTATTTTAAAGGAAACATACATCACTTCCTGATTTACCTTCCTGGTCCCAGTTTATACTAATTTTCTCCATGCAATTAGCAATAGCTCCATGCTAGGGTTCTAGTGTGCCCCTGAAAAATAATTTATGTGTTGAAACATTAGTTTCTCATTGTAGCAGTGTTGGGAAGTGGGGGTTAGCAAGAAGTGCTCAGGTCTGGGAAGCAGAGCCCTCAAGAATGGACTAGTGCCTCTGTGTGAAGGAGTCCCTGCTCTTGAGGCACTGGTTTAATTACTATGAGACAATGGGTTGTTGTCTTGCCTCTTTCACAATCATCTGTTTGCCCTTCCACTGTCCATCAGGATTTGAAGCTGCATGAGGTTCTCACCAGAAGCCTAGCAGATGCCAGTGGGTGCTCTTGGATTTCCCAGTTGCCAGAACCAGGAACCACATAAGTCTCCTTCCTTTATAAATCATTCAGTCTCAGATATTATTTTATAGCATGAGAAAATGAATGAAGTCACTCCCGTTTTCAGTCTTAAAAGTGTTTGCACTTGGAAGATAAATGACACAGTCACCATCGGATACCCTGCCTGCTTTGTTCCTGTGGGTTACTTGCCAAGGAGGTATTCAAGGTGACAAGGCCTACTCCTGCCCACTGCAGGGCAATGAGCTACAGAGCTGAAGACATTAGGAAGAACAGCTGAGCTCTTAGATCTCCTTAAAGCTGCACTCCCAGGACACTAAGCACATAGAGTGTGTAAGGCCTCCTACTTTCCAAATACATACATGTGACAGCATCATTCTTACTGAGATTGGTGGAAATTTGTTTTATATTATGTGCATGGCACAGATCTGGTCTGTATTTTTTATTTCAGTAATTTGAGTATAATTATATGTCTGTTTTATTTGTAGTTTCCTAATAGCATTAGCCACACAATGGATAATTCAGTTAATGACACAGGCTCACTGTCTTGAAGACATGTCAAAAATCTTAATAAAATCTGTGACAATTCTAATGCATAAAACTTCCTGCTTAAAAGAAGGGACAGTTGGATGGTTGTATTTTGAATGCAAGCACTGAAATGAATATTTTGTTATATTTTTTATCTGAGTAATCAATCTAGCATTCATTAGTAGAAACAGTTCTATTTTTTTATTTAATATGAAAGGAATAGCACCAATGATTCCATCCTCCAAAATGAGCACTGTAAACATATTCTTCCCTATCTTCCCAGACTTATTTTTAAGTATTATAAATGCAATCCTCAAATAGATATAGAGCTGGCTCACCCCATCTCCTCTGCTGATGGAGCATCTCTTTCAGAGAGAGAAATGGAAGATTGGGTTGGCCACACCTTTCCTCTTGCATGTCCTCCTTGGATGTTCCTCTGATTGTGGTTTCCAACTTTGTGCGTGTTGCTCTGTGGCATTCTGAGGTGAAGTTTCCTCCATCTGGAGCCTGGGAGAGTGTTGGGTGGGGAAAGAGGGCTGAGGTAGGTCTCCTTTCCCCTTTAAGACTTGAATCTTTCAATATCGACAAGAGCAGCACACCAGACTGCAAACTGAAGGAAACTGTAAAAAAAAAAAAAAAAAAAAAAAAGACAAGGACTTGTCCATCAGTGCCCACATCAGTGTTGTTCACAGCAACCAAAAGGTGGAAACAACCCAATGTCTCTCAACAGATGAATGAAGAAACTAAATGTGGCATCTTCAGGCAATGGAATACTATCCAGTCTTTAAAAGGAATGGAATTATGGTACATGCCTACAACATGGATGAACTTCCAAAACATGCTCAGTGAAATAAGCCAAGCACAAAAAAGCAAATATTGTATGACCCCATTTATATGAAATATCTAGAGGAGTCAAATTAATAGAGACAGAAAGTAGGGCAGAATTTACTGGGGCTTGAGGGAGAAGGGAATGGGTAGTTCTTGCTTAATGGGATAGAGTTTCAGTTTGGGATGATGAAAAAGTTCTGGAAGTGGATAGTGATGATGGTTGCACAACACAGTGGATGTGATTACTGCCACTGAATTGTACACTTAAAATGATTAAGATGGCAAATTTCCTTTTGGTACCGGGAATTTAATCCAGGGCGCTTAACCCCTGAGCCACATCCCCAGCCTTTTTCATTTTTTCTATTGAGACAGGGTCTGTCAAAGTTGCTAAGGCCCTCTCTAAGTTGCTGAGGCTGGCTTTGAACTCATGATCCTCCTGTCTCAGCCTCTGGAGCCACTGAGATTACAGGTGGGTCCCACCATGGTTACCTCCTCATGGCTCACCTGTCTTCACCCTCCTTATGAGGATGCTCAGACAGATGTCCCTCCACTCCACTCTAGTTATCGTCCTCTATTTGACTCCATGCTCCTGCCATGCCAGCACAGTCTCTACTTGTTCTAGTGACAGTTCATAAGTTCATTTCTATCCCCAACCCATCCCAGAGGATGTGCTCTCGCTCCTGGCTTCCTCCCTCCCTGACAGGACCCCAATTCCTGTTCTAAAGTTCCTGGCTTTGTAAGATGGGAAGACGCCGCATCACACGACACAGATTACCAAAGAGGTTTCCGCTTTATTACAAAAGGCTGTGTGTTTACATAGGTCTAAGAGAGGTAGCAGGGGCTGAGGTAGATAACAGGTCGCCCGTTTATTGGCAAGCTCTTCCATATGTCAGTTCCGGAGCCCAAGAAGTTAATTCTAATTGGGGCTAAGGCTTCCCATCAGCACAATTTGAACATTGGCACTGGCGGGAACGTTTCGCGCCAATGAAAGAAACAAAGAAGAGAAGGAGGGTCGTTAGATGCCATGCTGGGGTTTTTTCTCTGGGGTGCGGCTGCCGTTATGTTTTCCCAACAGGCTTCCTCCAGGTGCCCAGTGCTGGGGAAGGAAAACCCATCCTGGGAGCCAGATTGGATGCATGATCCAATGGAGGTTTCCCTTCCACCGGGAGGATTTTTGGATTAGTACACTTATTAGAACAAAAATATCTCCAAAACACAAATGTTGATTATTTCTCCTGGAGACAATAGTTTGTTTGTTTCTGGGTCTGGGGACTGAACCCAGGGCCTCACGCATGCTCCAGTACTGAGGTACACTACCAGCTCTGCTTTCTTCTTATAAAAAGAAGGGAAAGAGTGAAGGTTTTTCTTTCTTTTTCTGTCACATAACCATAGAAGCTTTCAAAAAAGAGTTTTGACTGGATCAAAGTGAAGACTCAGATATGATGAAATGTGGAGATGTAGAGAGTCCCAGTGTGTGGGAGGTTAAGGGACACTTGGGCAGCTCTTTAGCCACAACCCTGTCTGGGTTGTGCCAATAGCCCCATGGGAGGAACGTGAATCCTGTCCACACCTTGAATTCTGACATGTGCAGATGTGTCTTAGGGGTTTAGAGGGCCCTGCCAGATGCAGGGATTGAGCACCAGGTCCCCTAAAGGACCATAGGTGAGGAAGAAGGAATGAGTCACACTTAGAGTGGATTGGGCCCTGGGCACTGACCCTGTGGAGGCTGAGTCGTGCCTCCCCTGCCCCCGCCATGGTGGTGTCTAGCACTTCTGGAAGGAAAATACTTGTGAATAATTAAATAAGGATGATTTCCCTGGAGTTTAAGGCACCAAAATATGAACCTGATAACTAGCTGGTTCAGAGTAGTGAAGAGTTTCTACAGAAACTGCAGATATCTGGAAGCCAGTAGTGATGGAATTGGAAAGGGTGGGACAGACACTGAAAGGCCCTTGGAGGCTGTGAGTGGCTGCATCACATGGGCTGTGGGACAGATGGCCTCAGGGGGGTGGGCAGCTGATGGTTGAGGGATGTAGAACAGCAGAGAAGCCCCCTGGAGCAGCTGGGCTGCTCCCATCACCCCGCCCCACCACACCATGTCCTCAGAGAAGCCAGCCAAGGAGGTGGCTTCTTTCAGTACCTACATTTCGAGCCCAGTGGTGACACAGAGAAATTGAACATCCCTCTGGTGATGTTCAGGAGGATCATTGTAGGGCATAATGTAACTGTGGAGCATGTTGCATCAGAAAAGAGGAAACTTACCTTGCTGGCTGCACCCGCTTCCCAGTCCTGGGGCCACCTGTGGCTAAGAGAGTACCTAGCAGTTAGCCAGAAGGCATTGCCGTGGGTTGTGATGAAGAATTGGACCACCTCTAGGATAGGCTCAGAACCCTTCTGCCTTCACAGACAGCTCCTGTCTCCCGTTACTGCCACTAGGATGGGTGTAGATGTAAATTCTCCCCACCCTGCTGACCTTTATCCTGATTGGCTCCTGTACATTATATTAGCTGTGTGCGTTTTCTCAATAAAGGAGATCCTGCTTTGACTGGTCTCCCTGGCACATCTGATTGTCCTCCGGGGAGGGAGGGCTGGGCGTGGGCGTGGGCGGCCAGTCAACCTTTACCTTTCTTGGCCTGTCCTGGTCAGGCATGCTCCCCCAATCTCTTCCACTTATCAGGAGGGAAGGGGGGGGCTAAAAACCGGACAGATAGTGGGTTCAAAGCCAGCCTCAGCAAAAACAAGGCGAGCCCACCTGCCCCTTCACACATCCAAACAAACAGAAACAAAACAAAACAATAACAGCATTAAGGCACGGGAAAGCTCTAACCCTGTCCTCCCAGAAGGAAGACCTCCATCTCTCCCAACCATTTCTGTCACCCCAGATCACTGTTGCCTGAATGCCACCATTGCCAGCTCCCGAGGCCACTCTTCAGCTTATCACGTCATTGCTTTGCTTGTGAAGAAAAGTTCCTCCTCTGTGGTATTTATTTAGCCCAGGGGGTAAAGAGGAAAAAAATCTGGCTCTCATTTTAAGCACCTAAAGGATAGACTGGTTTCTTGGGACATCCTATAAAGTTCCCAGTAAGTTGTGAGACACCCAAGGAAGAGTCCAGGAGTCAAAAGCCTGAAAACATGCTATGTATCTTCCTCCCTTTTAGATGACCCAGGCATAGCTTGGGCAGTCCTCTCCCCAACAGATACAACAGACGCCCCAAGGTGCTCAAGAGAGCCCATGATTTAAGAGAGGAGAGAACATAGAGGGCTTGTTGTTTTATTTTTTTCTCAGAATTGCATTGCTCGGGCTGGGGATGTGGCTCAAGCGGTAGCGCGCTCGCCTGGCATGAGTGAGGCCCAGGTTCGATCCTCAGCACCACATACAAACAAAGATGTTGTGTCCGCCGAAAACTAAAAAAAAAAAAAATTAAAATTCTCTCTCTCTCTCTCTAAACTTAGGTATCTTAAAAAAAAAAAAAAGAATTGCATTGCTCACTGGTGGAGCTGGAGCTTCCTCGGTGCGTGTAGCTGGCCAGAGACTCGGTCCACAAGCCACCGGCAGTTTCAAGGAACCACAGAGTATGCTTATTGTGCTGGTTTTGCAGATCCCTAGGCCAGTGCCAAGATGGGACCTGCAACCACCTGTCCATACCTCTCCTGACTATCAAACTGGACTTGTCACTGCCAGGGAAGGAGGCCAAAGAGGTCACAGAGAGAAGCCATGAATGCAGCAGACAAAAGTCTCTCTGTATCTAGCCTATCTGGTGAGCACATCAGGGCCATCGTGTCCCATCAGCCAAGACTCCTGCCTTCTCTTTGGGTTTGGGAGAGGGCATCATTGTTCATGTGTCAACATTGTGATTCCCATAATGGTTGGGGTGCCAGGTGCTGAAGTCACCAAGAAGTTGCCCAGCCGTCTTAAAATGGTTTTATTCCTTATTCTAGAAAAGGTGATGACTATGGTGACAGCAATAGGAAAATAGCCAACAGGTCAAGGTACCAGGAACGTCCCCAATAACTGAACATTAGCATCGCATGGGTTGTGTCACTCTGGCTGTGGAACTCCTATTTATTCATTCATTATTTCATTAAAATGTAACAATGTGTGAGCGAGTGGGTGAGTGAGTGTGTGCATGGTCATGACCTTAGGTATTCCCACCCTAAATACCTCATAGTTTACTTGGGGCCCAAGACTGTAAGTAGGCAGATAAATGTCATGCTGGATTTGGAGCATCCTTGAGGTATGGAGGTTTGTTGTTGGATCTGACAGACAGGTTTTGCTTAAACTGTCTTCCAGCATGTTTTTAGGTAAGGGGGATGTTGGAGTATGCCCCAAAAGCTAAAGAAGGTTTCTAGAGAGAGACTGGGGAAGACATCAGCTATCACAGGGAATAGAAATTTGGAAGAAGAGGGTGTGTGAGAGAGAATTTTTAAGGGGCTATAATAATTTGTGGTGTAACTCCCTCTTCCGTATGCCCAAGAAACTACATATTATACTGTAACAAGGATGTACAAGGAGATAGGAAATATCTCTGCCCTGGGGACTTTGGAAAGACTCCACTCTAGCAGCAGCATTCAAACTTGGTCTCAAAGGACAAGTGGGAATTTTCTAGAAAGAAAAAAGATGGATACGTTAGTAGGTATCAAAGGCAAGCCCAGAACAGATACTGGTGATTTAAGCTTTCATTGGTCTGAAAGGAAATTAAAAAAATAAAAAATAAGGGCAAGGCAGTAAGTTATTCAAAAGCTTAATTTATCCAATTTAAAGGAACTTTGGTTTGGGGTGATGTACCATCTACTTTTGGAGTGTTGCTGTTTTTCTTTCTCTCATGAAATAAACATGGAAATACATGGCCATATTATAATTTGTATTTCTCTTACTTGGCCTAATAAAAATACACATTTTCCATATTCAATGTTTATAAGCTCAATTCACAACAGCTAAGCTATGGAACCAATCTCGGTGCCCTTCAATGGATATAGCTTGCAGGAGACAGTGGAGAGTATGGCAAACTCAAGCTCACATGCCCTATCTAAGGGGGCAGCTGCTATTCTGCACCATCCAAATTTTGCATTGTGGGAGTGAGATTAGGGCTTTGGAAATTTTAAACCAACCTGGAAATCTGAATTTTTTTTGTCAGCTAACTCAAGTTTCCCTTTTATTTTTCATTTTCTACATTTTAAAAAAACATGGGAAGGTCTTCATCCTTGAGGAAGCAGGGCTCTCTAAATAGAGGAGAAAGCTGTTTTGTTGGTCTTTGGCATCTAAAGATCTAGAGCCATGGGTAATGCATTCTGTGCCCAAAAAAGATGCTTGGTCAATTCTGCTGGGACAGGCCACCGTGCAGGGAGAACTGGGAGGAATCCAGGATGTGGTGGGACGTGGGACAGCACAGTGATTTAGGGTTACATGGATGAAGGTCTTTCATAAGCAGCTCAGACTTCATCCTTTAGGAAACAGGAGCTATTAGGGATCTATAAAGTAGAGGACAGAGCAGATTCTATTTATTTTGTTGGAAGATTAACTTGTGTCCCAGAAAAGCCAGTGGACTAGAGGGGACGTAGATAAAACAGGAAGGAACACCAGTGGTGCAATACTCCAGCGATAAGAGGACGGGATCAAGACAGTGGCAACAGGAATGAGGAAACAGAACCACAGGCTGTCCCAGGCAGCACTGGCCTTCAGCATAGCATTCGCTACCAGTCACAAGCAGCATTACCATGTGTGCCTGCGGGTGCCTCGAAGCCAGTCTTTTTAAAAACTTTTTTTAAAATTTGTTCTTTTTCCATATAAATGACAGTAGAGTGCATTTTGACATGTTATACATTCATGGAGTATAACTTATTCTAATTAGAATCCCATTCTTGTGGTTGTGCATGATGTGGAGTTTCACTGGTGGTGCATTCATATATGAACATAGGAAAGGATGTCCAATTCATTCTACAGTCTTTCCTGTTCCCATCCCCTCTACCCTTCCCTTCATTCATTCCCCTTTGTCTAACCTAATGAACTTCTATTCTTCTCTATCCCCACCCCCTAGCTTATTGTGTTAGCATCTGCATGTCAGAGAGAACATTCAGCCTTTGGTTTGAGGGATTGTCTTATTTCACTTAGCCTGATAATCTCTAGTTCCATCCATTTACTGACAAATGCCATATCTCATTCTTCTTTATGGCTGAGTAATACTCCATTGTGTATATATACCACAGTTTCTTTATCCATTCATCTATTGAAGGGCACCTAGGTTGGTTCCATAGCTTAGCTATTGTGAATTAAGCTGCTATAAACACTGATGTGGCTGCATCACTGTACTATGTTGATTTTAAGTCCTCTGGCTATATACTGAGGACTGGGATAACTGGGTCAAATGATGGTTCCAATCTAAGTTTTCTGCAAAGACTTCAAATACCCTACTAGTCCTTTAGGTCTACAAATCCTAGCTCCTGAACCCATTTGAATAATTAATAGTGTGGGACTGGTGTGACCACATGTCCATGCCACCTAATAACATGTGTTTGGATCCATTGGATAGGACATTCATGTGGTACTTTAAAAAATGAGAGATGGTAAAGAAATTTACCATCAAAAGAATATGAGGGTATCAGGCAACTTAAGGGTGCAGAAGGGATTTGCAAGTGGAGATGATAAACCTCAAATGACACTTGGCCTCATGGAGGGCACCTATAGGGAACAGTGGAGACTATAGGGTTTACATGCCCTATCTAAGGGGGAAACTGCTATCTTGCACCATCCAACTGTTGCAATGTGTTGAGGTTAGGGCTTTGGAAATTTTGAACAAACCTGGAAATCTGAATTGTTACTGTCAGCTAACTCAAGTTTAAAATACAACAATAACACCATGTGAGTTGAAATCAGGGTTTTATTTTTTGCAAGCATGAAATATTTAATTCCAAATTACCAAATTGACAACCCTGATTCTCTACTTCTGTTTACAGAAGATGCAGTAATGTATCATAGTAAATATATTTGTAACCTCCAAGCAGTGCCACTATTAGTACCTTGTTTTCCTCAACGCTTTTTTTTTTTAATGAAGGAAGAATAAATCACAAATGCTATCCCTTGTTTGGCTGATGAGCAAACTGAGGCAGGGTGAGGTCTGTAGCTTCCCTAAAGTTTCTAAGTGGTAGAAGCGGAGCTGAGTCTAGGACCTTGTCTACTGTCACAGCACAAGGTATCAACCTACACAGCCACCTCTGATAGGCTCTCCTGGAACCAGGTGTACACCTCCTTAGGACAGGAGATTTCTCTCTGAAGCTGGTAGTCTCTGAAACTGGGTTGGTACAGTGGGCATGGTGGGAAAAGGGAGTATGGGGATCCCCAGGGGCACTCCTGGAGATGCTTATGGTTCCACACTTAGCAATGCCCCAACTGAGGAAGGAACTACAAAGAATAATGTAGGTGTGTGAAGAACAGTCCCCTTTGTCTGCATAATCATAAGGGGGTTTTGCTGTCTGTTCTTTCCCCCTGAGGGATGCTAAATATCATTCCTGTTTTGTCGTAATTCACTGTTTTCATATGCATTTGGAAGA